GGATTCAGACATGGGATTTTTAGAGTTTGGAAAATTAAATTAAATATAAAGACTATCATAGACAAGATATTAAATTAAATTTTTATTCAATTTTTTTCAAATGTGCAAATTTCTATAGAGTAGAAAAGATAAATTAGTATTGCAAAAAGAGTTACATTCATTTTTTTTGTTTTCTTGCAAAGTAAAATGTAAAAGCAAAAGTAATACTTCACATCTTATAAAGAAAATACAAATTATTCATTAAAAAATGAATTTTATAATCAAAACATTCATTATTATGAAGAATAGCATACAGAAAAATTTAAATTAACTTTCTGTGACAAAGTTCATAGACATTTTTTTAAATTTTGCTGTTTAAAACAATTGCAAAAAAGAGAAAGGCGATATTGAGAAGACAATGTCGTGTTTTAGTATTTTTTTATTTTAAGAATAGTTGTAAAATATTAAATTTATTATTGAATTTAATTTTTGATATTGTGATAAATTATTTAATACGTGTCATTTTTTATTAATTTTACAGTAAAAAACATTACATTTATATTTTTTTAATGTCTTCTATTTATTTACAAAGGACAGAAAAATTCAATATACTTAAAAAAAAAAAAAAAAAAAAAAAAAAAAACATATTTCATAAAAAAATTTTTTTAACATTGTTGAAGAAAAAAAAAAATTAACTTTGTGAAATTGTTAATTACACTTGTGAATTTCACATTGAAAAAGTTTGCTTAAATGAAAGGCAAAGTTCAAATAGAATAAAACAAACATACTTCACTATCATAAATAATAAACTTACTTCGGTACCTCCACAAGATCACTAAAAAAAGAACATAGCATGATGAAAAAGATGCCAAACTTGACAAAAACAAAATTTTTTGTCTAAATGTTTATGTTATTATTAAGAGGAAAGATCAAGGTATTCTGGGGGATTTTTTTTTACATTTTTTAATTGTTCCTAGCACGTCTGAAATTTTCGTTCAAATTTTTTTTTTTTTTTTTTTGAGTCAACAAAATTGACGGATGGCAACCATTTTTTTCCATTTTATAAAAAAAAAAAAAATGAAAATCTGTTTGAATTTCTTTTAAATATCAATTATCATTTTTCAAAACTTATTTTAAGAAAATCAGAAATCATAATGTTTATTTAAAATATTTTGAACCAAGCTTAACTTAGCTTCTGCGCTGAAAAGATGTAATTTGAAAATAAAACGAAGCAGGTCATAAACTTTCGCAGTCACTTGACAGGTGATGAATGACATATTGACGGATTCCGTGAGGATAATTTGTTCTACAGAAGGAGAAAAGTGAAATCATTTACATTTAAGTGAACAAATTATTTACCTCGTTACTTTTAAGGTTAACTTTCAGTGCTCTAATTTTTTTTTGTTTTTTGTACTTAGCTTTCACAAGATATTTTCTATAAAACATTGTAAATGTAAGTTTACGATGCTTTATGGAAAATATATTATAAAGAAATTAAAATAAGACTGTTAAGAGTTAGATTAAATTTCATAAGAAAGGTATCTAATTATTTTAGAGGTACCTTATTAAATTTTATCAGAAGTGTACATAAAATACTATAATTTTATGTACATTTATTACATTTTACTGTTATTTGTCTTTCCATTCATTTTATTATTAATTTTGATATTTCATTTATGGAAAAAATGCCATAACTGAGATTAATATAAAAATAAGATCATATAAATTTCATAAGATGATACTGATACTTTTAGGCACCCTTCTCAATTGAAATTGAAAAATCAAATAAACTTCTCCACACATGTAAAGGCCTTAACAGTGAAGAACAATGCTTAACTCAAATAATGCAACTTAATTGTATTCTGGTTGGTCTTCCGTACTTCATAATTAGAGCCCGATTATAAACACAAAATTACATTTCTTAATTACTGCAGGTCTTCTGATTAGTCAAAATGATACAATTTACAATGCACTAAAAAAAAGATCTATCTCATAAGGACACTTACGAAAGTGGATACGGCTTTTAACTAATTTTATATTTTAAGAACTTAAATGTAAAAATCTATTAAAAAATAACAAATAATTGTATTAAAAATTCATTTTTCATCAAAAAATTTTTTTGCTTTCAGAAAATATTTGTTTTATTGAGTTTTGTATGTTACAATTCAGAGCTGATTTTCAGGTGGTCCAAATAAAAAAAACAAACAAAAAAAACATGATTTGCATCCCCCAAAGCCTTGTGTTTTTAACTATTGTAATTACTAAAGTGAACTCTGTCGAATTTCTAGAGTTTTCATAAAATTAGTTAGAGGGCAGTAATATATATATATATATATATATATATATATATATATACATACATAAATAAATAAAAAGATTTCTGCCATGACTGAATCAAAGAAAACATACTTATAATAATTTCGATCATCTGTGAACAGTTTCTGAAAGTTTCATTAACATCTGACAATTATTTTTATTTTTGCAAGATTTTCCAAATTAATGTGTGTCATACAAAAAAAAAAATGTGCTAAAAATTGTATATGTTATTTTACTAGTTCTGGTGATACAAAGAAAAACAAGGATTTTTAAATCAGATTTTAATTCAGATTGTTTTAAAAAGAAGGAAAATTTTTAAAAAATAATTAAAATAAACTTTGATCTTTCCTCTTAATAATAACATATTTAGACGATAAAATTTTGTTTTCGTCAAGTTTGGCGTCTTTTTCATCATGCTATGCTATTTTTTAGCGATCTTGTGCAGGTACCTAAAATCCAAAAGGTAAGAAAACGTAAAAATTTCGTTAAAAAGAAAATGAATTAAATTTCTATTCCAGCAATGAACTTTCGCATTTTTAATCGTTCACCCCAGTCGCCTACTTGGTATATGCGATTTCGAAGCCTTGTAAAATAAAAATATCCATTGTGATATTCTAAGTGCTTGCGGCAGAAAGTAAGAAGATGAAGCCATCTAAAAATAAAACTCTAGGAACATTGGAGAGCTATAGTACCAACAGACCCCTTAAAATATCGTATTAGTAACCATTCATGCATACTGAGAGGGGCACACCAACCTCAACAGGGAGCCCAAGAAGCAATAGCATGAAAACTGAATGAAGGCACCCGTGCATATTCTCTGCTTGTATGGCTGAATAACAAACCAAGTATGGACATTAATAGAGTGTAACAAACTGTGTAAACCATTATTAAACCACAGATGAAGCTAAATTAGCAGTCATGTGGTTAGTATGGAGGTTGAGAGAAGAAGGCTTCAGTAACATGAGGATGCCAAAAAAGAGAAAAAAGGGACATGATGTCATGTATGGAGGGAGAGATGTTTGTGTGTAAACTGTACTCCCAAGATATGATTTGACAAAATTCACAAACCAGAGGAAGACTGGAGGATACAGGGTTTAAACATTGAGAAATAACTAACAACAAGAATGATGAGTAAATCAGTCCGAATTTAAACCATATGCAAAAATTAAAACATTTTAACAAAATTCAAAGAACTACACAAAGTTTCATAGAAGAAATTTCACAAAGAGGTACTGAAATATTTTCAGCTTGTTTCAGCTATCAAATCTGACCCAACGAAAAACATTAGAATTTATTTTAGAAGGGCTCTTCATCTTTGTTGTTCCTAGCACTGTTTTTGGCCATTGTGTCCCCCACCTTTCTTCAGGTGTCTGTTGATCTAGATTACCTTCAGGAAATTATGAACTGAACACTTGTTTAATCTACAGAGTTAGACTGCTCTTGTTCAGTTGTTCATGTCTTTTTTTTTTTAGTAATAAAACTCAAGTTATTGTTCACTCTCTTTCCACTGAGCAGTACTAGAACAAGATGAAATATCTCTGACAACAGAACGTGAACAATCTACCCTTCTACCCATAAAATAATGGGTTCAGTTCGAAATTCCCTGAAGGTTGCAGGGATTGACAGACGCCTGAAGAGGACACAAAGACCAAAATGTTGTGATAACCAAAAAAAAACAAGCGTAAATGTGGACATTTCATATGAATATATAAATTAAATAATAACTCTTTAATGATTAATCTTGATCCCAGAAATTATTTTAGAAGGGTTTCTTGGTCAAGTCAAGAACTTTTCACTACATCTTCGCACAAGTGAATCTGATAGAGAATGTTTAAATTTGTAATTAATTAAAATTTGAAAGAACAACATAGAAAATGTAAAAATGTTTTCGAATTGTTTGTAATTATTAATCATCCATAATCCTATCATGATGGGATGGGATGGGAAATCTGAAGTCGACAGTAGTTAGAGAGGTGTTAAGTACATCAACCGGTAACGTAACGCAACTATTGATGTATAAAACGCAGAGTTTTAGTTTGAAACAAAAATGCGCCTTATATGGCGATAAATCAGATAAAAGAAGCCTGCTATTTTTATATTATGTGCAACTTGATAAATGATGAGAGAAATGTTAATTAGATTGCGAATGTATGGCAGTAATTACAAAAAATAAGTTGATGATTTTCTTGTGCATTCAACAACACAATACTCCTTTTGCTATCGATTACAACACTTACTACCCTTTTTTTTAAATGTCGTATAGAAAACGTTGAAAATTCCTTCAGGGTATTTTATATTTATTTTAAAGAAAATCTATCGAACTTTAAAGTTTGTAAATGAGGCAATGTTAAAAAAAAAAGGGGGGGAGTGAATTTAATTTTAATCCCACTTTTATTGCAAACATTTTTAAACGAACAGATGATTTTAAAGGCTCGATAAGATAAATGAAAGGTAAATATATTTATTTGTAAATGATGGAGAGCAAAGAAGAAATAAAAAAAAATGAAATCATAAGTTTAAGCTTAGAAAACTAACATGAAAATACGGATTATAAAGAGGACAGTGATATTTTGACATCTTTTCGCTAAGTAGACTATCACCCAATAATTAGGATTTATCGCGTTAATCTAAAGATTTTCAGTTTGAATAAGATGTCAATTAAAGAAAATGAAAAGGCAGAATAGTTAAAATTAAATTGAGCTTACCGTATTTTTCATCGTAGCCGCCATCTTCAGTGTCGACTGGAAAGAAGATAAATAATGATTGAAGAATAACTGCATGAATATCATAAATTAAGTCTTGACGATAGCTTATGCCTACAAAAATGATATTAAAAATATAGCAAAAAAAAACTTGATTTTTAAATATTTTTTTAAAACGTAAACAAAAAATTATTTTATTTTTGTGCGGACCTACAATGTTTATGTTGACCAAAAGATGGTGGTCACTGTACTTTTTGCGGTCTCTGCCGGTAAGATTCAATTTTCGGCTTTATTTCCTCTGTGTTCGAAAAAAAATAAAATAATCTCGCTAATAAATCGACTATTTATAAATACTTTTTTTTCTCATTTATTTCATTTTAGTGTTAATTTCTCCGCTGTTTGCCCAAGTCACTGAACTTGATGAACGGTAAGTGGATAAAAAAAATCGTCGTTAAATAAAGAAAGGAGAGGCTTTTTCTTTGTATCCGTTTTGCGTTATTTTGCACCTTCTTTTTTATTTTAAATGTAGATTATATATTTCACGTTAATCTGACAGTTTAGAAATCATTTTTAGTTAATTTTATCAGTGATATTTGTTTAAATGCATTTTGTGGTGAAATGTTATTTCGGAATTAAGAATTCTGCTTAGAGTGAAGTGAAAAGAAAAAAAACTGGTAGAACAATTAATGTGTCTCCTTAAATGTTGCAGATAACAACTTCAATTAATAATCTAAATTAATTAGGATAGATGAAAATGAAAAAAATCTGTTTATTAGACCCCACAAAAAATTACCCAAAAATGAATGAATGGGTAGGTGACAATAAACTCCCTTTTTTTGAGGCTTTGAAGAATGTTTCATTTTTTTTTTAATCAATAACTAGTTGATGGGAAAAACATTTTTAAAATTCTTATACATTTCCTAGATTTTATAAATATAATGTTTTTATGCTAAAGTAGTCATTTATTATTAAGTAATCTGATTTAGTTTTAAAAATTTCGTATTTTCTGGAAAATCTCAACATCAAAAACAAATTACTTTCGTTAAAGTGTTTTTTTCTTTAATGCTAGTAAAAATTTTTTTTTTTAAATTGTAGATTAACTTTGAAATTTTTGTTTACGCTGTATTTTCAAGTGTTTTAAAACATGCAGTCGTTTTAAACTATATTTTTAACTGATTTTCAAATATAAAGCCTTCATCAAAACCTAAAATTTAGAATCACAAAACAAAATTATTCAGTTGTGACGTAAAAACTAAATAAAAATGATTTCGTGCCTCTGTTGACTGACATTTGTTAATTGACCATTATTTTCATTTTTATTCCCTTTCACGATGCATTGATCTTTTGTGTGCTGTTAAGCATCGAAACGTAACTGTGTAAAAATAACATATCTTTATTAAAATTATTGAAATAATGCCAATAAGGAGAAAGAGAAGTTAATCTCGAAAACGTGGCGAATATAAGGGTTATCATGCAACAGGTTTTCTCCCTTTTTTTTCCGCTGAGATGTTTACCTTTTTTCTGATCCTTGTCTTGTTTCCTCTTTGACTCTTTATATCGATCTGAGTTGTACACTAGAAGTACCTGTCAGCTTTCTTGTTTGTATCACCTTGTCTTAGAGTAGTAGTGGTTAATCTTTCAGATTATAGCAGTGAATTCGGTTTTCATTGGTGCTCCACGCTCATGGCCTTTAAAAACTAAGTTATACACATCAGTCAGGCTACAAAAAAACTCATTTAAAGAATAAAGGTTATAGAAATCAATTTGTTTAGCACCACATGACTACTGTTGAGAAGTTGCTGTGTCATAATTGTGCATTTATATTTCTTTTGAATTTAAAATAAACTAAAAAAATAATGATCTACATTTTTAAACATTATCAGGTATTCATACATAATCATTTTGTAATAATTGAGAGACATGAACTTTCATTTTTCTTTCTCCAGTTTATTAAAGCCTTTTGACTATTTAACCTAATAATATGTAATAGTCAAGATAAGAATGCTAATTTGACTAAAAGTATATTGACAATTCCCTATTTACAAAGAAAAAAAAAGAAATACAAATTTATCAAAAGCTGTATGACCCTGCCATGATGACCAAAAGTTGAAACAATCTGACACTGAATTTAAAAGACTCAAAAAAAATACACCACTGGTGTTCACCAGAACTGTGGTATAGTGGATATATATGGCTAAACATATGTGGTTGTGAGTACAATTTCTAGATCAGATAGTGAATTAATATGTTCAGTAAAATTGAACTGGTAAAACAAGTACAAAATTGCACAATAATAATTAGATATCCCATATCAGATATATATATACAGAGAGAGAGAGGGAGAGAGAGACCTGCAGATAGCCATAGGGTACTTGACTGAAATGTTGTGTGCATATTAACATCTGTAATAAGGTGAGAACAATAGTTTGAATTAATTACAATGTGTATATGACACTCATTTTACCTTAACTAAAATTTAGTGCAACTAGAATGAGAGACAGAGGTGCAACATTTGTATAAAAACTTTTTGGTTTCTCTCATGAATTCAGCTAACATACAATGGATTTGTTGATCATTGTACCACAAAATGAATTATCTGTGTGAATTTTATGAAAGCACAGTCTTTAATGTCGCTTTCATTTTTTTTGCCTTTTGCTCACTTGGTTTGCATCACAAATGCAAAATTTATTTTTTATTAACAAAATAAAGCAATTGTCATAAGCAAAATGATACTTTAATGCCATTTTCAATGAAAACAAAACATAAAAAACATTTCTAGATATTTATACTTGACGTGAATTGTCAATTTTACATTTGCATATATAGTTGACAGCTCAAGGAAGTGACATCTTGATTTTTTAATTTTTATAATCATTCACTTTATACTGACTAGATAAGATATTGCTTAACTTTGGTATAATACTATACATGAATTCTGCTATGATTTATATATCTCAAAGGTAGAAAGAAGCCTATTATACTCTTTGTCACTGAAAATTAATCTCATCATTAAGTAAATCTTATTTACATGTAATTCAATTGCCAGTCATTTTCACTTGATTTAGCATTTAATCAACAATATAATTTGGTTTCTTTTCTCATTAGCTAAACTAAGGTGACTTATTGAAACATTATCAGTTATAAGTTTATGCTCCTTTTCTAAATTCTTTTTAATATTTTCCCAAAATTCTGGAAAAATATTAAAAAGTAAAAATAATGCTCAAAATTAAAAATAAAAGTGTGGTCAGGACCTTGTGTGTGTGTGTGTGTGTGTATATATATATATATATATATATATGGTGCGATAGGTAAATTTCCGCAATGTTATATTTTTAATTTCACACATACATGTTATTTGTTTTTGATTTTGTCTACTGCACAGTATAGTAGGGTCAGTTTTGGTACAATCTATGAGAAGAAGAACATCATGATACAATTCACTCTGCCAGAAATTTGGAAACTGCATACTGTCTGCTTGGTATTTGCACCAGAAGGTCCAGTATAAACATTTCAGAGTGTTTCAGAGTCAATCTGAGGACATTACAGAAGATTCAGAAAGAGTTGGATGAGTCTAATTGTGATTACAAAGGTGTTTGGAATGATCACTATATGACATTATGCCTCAATTGATCTTCTCACACGGCCTCAGATTCAACACGGAGGCTTACATCAAGTTTCTTGAGGAGGTAGTGCTGTCCTGGGTCAAGAGGGTGGCTTCTGGAAGACCCTATGTTTGTAATAGGACACTGTACCATGCCATACAAGCAGGAGAACCCAGTCATGACTGTCAGACAATTTCTGTGACCACATCACCTGTTACATTTGGCTACTTAACTGCAAAATATTAAAAAGTCGATTGAAAAATTTTGTATAAACAGTTCAAGAAATCTCTTCCGTTGATGTCGGAATACGTAGTGATCAATAGGTTCTTATATCTTCAACAAGCTTGAAGTCCTTCCCGTTACAAGGCAAATCAAAAAATAATTTCAAAAACGAATCGACTTTTTCATATTTTAATATTTGGAAATCATCTTCGAATACGTTTTAACAACATCGCCCACGTGACGACTACGTGATCATATTTAAACGGAACGCTGATCTGTATAAAATTTCAGTTATCTGTTTGGATTAGTTGGGCTCTTATGTCCGTCGTCTTTTGTGTTAAATTTTTATAAGTTCTAATGTTAATTATGTTTAAATGAAAATGTCCATGAAGATGGTCTTAAATAGACCGAAACGTCCGACGTCGACTTTATATTAACATTAATACTACATAATTGCATATTCAGATTTTTGTTTGTTTTTTCTGTATTTTTCTTTCATATATATATATATATATATATATAATTAAATAAAATGACCCCATCTTATATACAGTAAAGTGAAAAATGATCAATTTAATTTTAAATAAATCATTTTTCAAATATTGAAATCTTTTTTTTTTTATATATAAAAGAATATGATCTTCAGTATGGAATAAATCCTCATAATCCATTTAAGAAGTTTTTTATTCAATATAATATAGACACAACATTAAAAAAATTAGCAAAAACAAAATTATCCATATGCCAGAAAATTATTCTAATTATTTATGAAATTCATAAAATATATTTATATCATATTATAAGGCTGTATTTATGAGTTGTACATTTTTAAAAGAACTTAAGTTTACTGTAATGAACATACATATTGTTCACTTCAAACCAGGTATCAACAACATAGCAAAGGTGAAAGGAGTTGTCTGTGAAATTAAAACAACAAATTGTGAATATTTGCATTACAAGAATGAGTTTTGAAGCAGCAGCTAAGCAATATTTAGTACTCAAGTTGACTACAGTGTATCATAGAAAATATTGTAAAGCAAAAGACCATTGCATCTCTTCCTGGAAAGTGTTGTATATCTAAACTCTGTCTAAGATTGCAAAGATTGTCTAAGAAGAACCCTAAAGTTGTGATGAAAGATATTGTTTCTGATTTGTTAAACAGTGGAGTAAACATGTCAGCATGGTTCACAAGTTTGACAGGAATTTGCATGTGTCTTATTTGGAAACATTTATGAAAGTCAGTTTTATGGAGTGAAGAGACTAAAACTGAAGAGAAGCCACAAACCCTAAGAACATCATCTCTAATGTAAAACATAAGAGTGAATATCTTATGCATTGGAAGTGTTTTACTTAAAATGCAATGAGCTGGTTCTTTAAATCATTGGAATCATGAAAAAAAAAAACATAGTGTACTGTAATATTTTAGAGGAAAGTGTGCCAGGTTCCTTTTTGGAAGACATTTAACATGATAATTCTAAACACACAAATGCACTGAGGAAGAATTAGTTCAAAGACAACAAGGTCAGTGTCTCACTTTGGTGTAGAATGAGTTCAAACGAGTATAATTCTAATAGAAAATTTGTAGCCAGAACTTAAAGTTATG